GTAGGCGAGAAGCTGGCGACATCTTTGGTAGAGAAATTGTCTACCCACCACCTCAGGTACCAGTGCAGAAGACCGTAGGAGGATGGGGTCGAGGGGCTCACTACTCCAGGCCCCTGGGGAAACTCCTCGCCCCATCCTCTAGTTGGTTTCCTCAGTGGTTTGCACCCACTTCACCCACCAGTCCCTATCTATGTTCATCTGAGCAAGTTCAATGAATTGCCTCCCTCCAGGGATTTCATGGAACCGACGATGGACAACACCAAGCATATACTAAACTATCTGATGCCCATCATTGACCAGGTGAATCCAGAACTCCATGACTTCATGCAGAGGTATCTATGTGTCTGCATTTATGTGTGTGCACATGCACACCCCTCCACCCTAAACGTTCTCCTGGCTCACACGTCTTCCTCACGAGTCTATCTCAATGTTGTCATTATCCTCTGTTGATTAGTGTTAAGTTTTTCTGAGTTGTCCTTTCTAGTTGCCCGCAGTCTGGATAATTCCACTCTAAGGAGAGTCTTGGAGCACCTTTTAGATACTATGCTTCTTCAGGGATAGAGGGTAACAGAGCCCTTGTCTTCAGGGGGTCACATGTAGTGGGGAGAGGCGGGTAAGGTAAGTTTGTCAGGGTAAACTTTGATCTTCAGTCAGCCCAAGAGAAGGACAAGGCCACCCATGGGTCATCTTATTCCCCAAGTACCAAGGAGAGGAACTATTTCTTTCCAAACCTCATGTGACTTGTTTAGTTGGAAATGTGTTCTTGGCCAGTGCTGCTTTTTTTTTTTTTTTTTTTTTTGACAATGGCTTTATCTTACAGTGTTTCAGTAGTCTTACATTAACTGAAAAATTAAATGTTTAAGGGGCCAGCAGGTGGTGTGGTGGTTAAGGGTGCTGGACTCTCACATGGCCAACTGTGGCTTGAGTCCTGAACCTGGTGACTTGCTTTCTCACTCTCTCTCTCTCTGTCTCTCTCTGGTAAAATTAAAAAATAAATAAATAAAGGTAAAATTAAATAGTTCTTTTTTAAAAAAAAATTAAATGTTTAAGTCCTTCTCAGGAGGGAAATAATGGTATAATTCTCTGAAAACAGCTGCTTCTGTTCCTGTTGTTGCCATTTGTGGCTGTTAAGAGAGCACCCAGTGGGACAAGGCAGATAGGACCTGCTGTGGTATTCGTGCTGCATTCACAGTACGTTTTAAAGACTTGGTATTTTGTGAGAAGATGCCGAATTTCTAAATGGCCAAATTTTCCAGAGAGCATATCTCCCAAATACTTCCTTCTTACCAGGACTGAGGACCAAGAAAGCTCAGAAAGGGGGAAGGGATGGCCTAGCAGAGACCTGACCTCTGGCTTTCCTTTGCTTCCCAGTGCTGAGGTGGGGACCATCTTTGCCCTCAGCTGGCTCATCACCTGGTTTGGGCATGTCCTGTCCGACCTGCGGCATGTCGTGCGGTTATACGACTTCTTCCTGGCCTGCCACCCGCTGATGCCCATTTACTTCGCAGCTGTGGTAGGTACAGGCCACGGGCCAGCAGTGAGGTTCCCCATCACCACCCCTGAACAGAAATCCGGGGGTGATGGGAAGATGAACAACACAGCATATCACAGGCTTTTGTCCCATGCAGTGTAATGGGGGTAGCATGGAAAGAGTGGAGGTTGGGAACTGCTGACTAGACAGAGTTAAACAGGTCTCTTTACTGTTTGACTCTATTGAACCTTGGAAATACTAGTGTAGCTTGTAAATGGTCAGCGTTCCTGTTGAGGTCTTTTGCACAGCGTTAAGCTGATGAACACAGTTAGGGAAAACAGTCAGTAGTACAAACCGCCAACTCCAGGATTAAGAGGGGCCAGACAGCAGCCCGGTGGTACAAACGGGATGCTCTGAGGCAATTGCACATGGGAAAGTTAAGTCCAGAGCCCTCCTTGCGTAGACCAGGACTATGTGGGCTCGCTGGCAGCTGGAGGTAGATTGTGGTGTCAGGACACAGCTGGAGTTACCCTTTCTCTCTCTTTCCATCTCCCTCTCACTTTCTTGTTCATGGAAAAATTAAAATTTTTTAAAATTTGCCATAGGGGCATGTACATTCACCACACACACACAGAGAGAAAGAGAGAGAGAGAGAGAGTGAGAAAGCATCCCAGGAATGGCCACGCTGCAGTCCCTTCTCCTCCATTCTCCTCTCTGGATCTCGGGCACACCTGCACATGCACTCACATGTTTTTCAAGCCTCTGGGATCTGGAACTCAAACCCAGAATTGGCCATGTGGGATCCAACTGCTTCAAGCACCGTGCCGCCAGCTGGCCCATGGAAATAATAAATAAACTTTTCAAAGAAGGTAAGAGAGATCTGATTAACATGAAGTGAAGAGTAAAGTGGCTGTGGTAGAAGCTGGAGGCTCCCGCTGTTAGAAGGGCCTGTGTGGTGGGGTGGAGGTAGGTCACTGATCCCATCAGCAGCGTGGGTTCGTGGACCAGCTATGCAAGGAGAGCAAGGCCATTTTTTCAAGTGTTCTGGGCCATTTCTTCATGCTGGAGCTCCGGGAAGCTCCCAGTAATTCTTTCCTTCCTCCTGAAAGACTCTCCTTCATCTCTTTCAGGAGTGTTAGGGACAAAAGCAGACAGATGTGCCTAGAAGGACTTGGATTAGAATTGACCAGCCTTCCACATCATGGTGTGGGAGTTTGCCTCTCATAGGAAGGGCCAGCCCCAGAGGAACAGCAGAGAGAGTGTGCATTATCACTTCCTAGATAGATAGAGTTTCCAAATAGTTGGGCCAGGCCCTGTGTGCAGTCTCTGATGCAAGAGAGAAAGAGAGAGAGAGAGAGAGTGAGAAAGCATCCCAGGAATGGCCACGCTGCAGTCCCTTCTCCTCCATTCTCCTCTCTGGATCTCGGGCACACCTGCACATGCACTCACATGTTTTTCAAGCCTCTGGGATCTGGAACTCAAACCCAGAATTGGCCATGTGGGATCCAACTGCTTCAAGCACCGTGCCGCCAGCTGGCCCATGGAAATAATAAATAAACTTTTCAAAGAAGGTAAGAGAGATCTGATTAACATGAAGTGAAGAGTAAAGTGGCTGTGGTAGAAGCTGGAGGCTCCCGCTGTTAGAAGGGCCTGTGTGGTGGGGTGGAGGTAGGTCACTGATCCCATCAGCAGCGTGGGTTCGTGGACCAGCTATGCAAGGAGAGCAAGGCCATTTTTTCAAGTGTTCTGGGCCATTTCTTCATGCTGGAGCTCCGGGAAGCTCCCAGTAATTCTTTCCTTCCTCCTGAAAGACTCTCCTTCATCTCTTTCAGGAGTGTTAGGGACAAAAGCAGACAGATGTGCCTAGAAGGACTTGGATTAGAATTGACCAGCCTTCCACATCATGGTGTGGGAGTTTGCCTCTCATAGGAAGGGCCAGCCCCAGAGGAACAGCAGAGAGAGTGTGCATTATCACTTCCTAGATAGATAGAGTTTCCAAATAGTTGGGCCAGGCCCTGTGTGCAGTCTCTGATGCAAGGCCTTTCTCCCACAGATCGTGTTGTATCGCGAGCAGGAAGTCCTGGACTGTGACTGTGACATGGCCTCGGTCCACCACCTGTTGTCCCAGATCCCTCAGGACCTGCCCTATGAGACACTGATCAGTAGAGCAGGAGACCTCTTTGTCCAGTTCCCCCCGTCCGAACTTGCTCGGGAGGCAGCTGCCCAGCAGCAGGCTGAGAGGTGAGTGCCCAGGCACCGGCTGAACTAGGGGGTTGCGAGTGAGCAGGCGTGAGGGCAGGTTTGCCTGGTGGAGGCAGGACTTGGGCCACATTTCCAGAGGTCTAAGTTTATACCAGCGAATCCCCACTTTTGACTCCATGTGTCTTCATCAAGAAGAGCTTTCTAAGCAACGAATGGCTCTGCCCTCTCTAATACCATTTTCTTCTCTCTCCTCCCCTGCAGAACTGCAGTCTCTACCTTTAAAGACTTTGAGCTGGTGTCAGCCCAGCAGAGGCCTGATATGGTGCTGCGGCAGCGCTTTCGGGGACTTCTGCGAACTGAGGATCGAACAAAAGATGTCCTGACCAAACCAAGGACCAACCGCTTTGTGAAACTGGCCGTAATGGGGCTGACGGTGGCACTTGGAGCAGCCGCGCTGGCTGTGGTGAAAAGTGCCCTGGAGTGGGCCCCCAAGTTTCAGCTGCAGCTGTTCCCCTGAAAGCCAGAGAAGACACTTCCTCTTCCATTACTTAAGGTCTCACCCTTCCATGGAAGGATTAGGAGGGGGTAGAATTTCCTTTATTAAAAGGGTTTCTGTCAAGGGTTTTCTATTCCCGCCACTCGTCCCTGCCTGTCCGTGTTTACCTTTGCTTCAGAGGCCAACAGCAGAGCATGCCTGGCACAGAGCATGTGGGAGCCTGCCATGGAACTCCACCCCTCCCGGCAGACCCTGAGAGGGCTGTCCACCGCCTCCTCCTGAGTCAGAGGAAGTGGTTTCTTTAGCTCTAAGCTGCCTTTGAAACCTGCTGCTGGTGCCTGGGGAGCCTCCTGGCTGCCCAGTAGAAAGCGACTGGACCACAGATGGGTGCCCTCCTACAGCTCCTGGTGTTCCGTCTGCTTCAGACAAAGAAGGAAGGGGCTGCTGCGGGATTGGGCCTTGGACGGAAGTAGGAGGACAGAAGATAGTAGCCTGGGCACAAGGTTACCCCTCCATTGGCTGATTCCGAATCAGAAACGGACAGGGTACTTTCCTCTGGCAGGTGTTTTCTTTCCTTTTTTTCAAGAATTATTTCTTTAATTTGTTATTATTTTTTAATTTGACCAGAGAGAGAGAGACAGGGAAAGGGAGAAAGCAAACCGCCAGTTCCAGGACTCAAACCGCAGTTGGCCGTGTGGGAGTACAGCGCC